GTGTGCACTTCAGACGGTCCCAGAGGACCACAAGCATGCTGGTTACACCACGGTGTGAACTCCAGTCCTTAAACGGGGTGTGCACTTCAGATGGCAGGCCCCAGAGGTACCATGCGCATGCTGACTATACCGCAGGCCAACCCCATCCCTTAACTGGGGTGTGCACTTCAGATGGCCGGCCCCAACCTCCCCCAGGTGGATAATAAGCACCTTCCAGGGACTGAATCACCATGTTGGCTCTCCACGAAATAGTGTTCTTTCTAGACTGGAATTTAAGCCCCAGCACTCCCAGCCTCTGAGCCTGCCTCTCTCAAATCAACGCCATTGTTCCAGTTCCAGCCACTCGGCTCAAAGCTGGGACACACACCTCTCGTCCGAGTGAGGGAAAGGGAAGATTATTTCTTGAAAAGGAAACAAATTAAGCCAGTGCATTTGGGGGAGACAGAAGTCGCTGCCTACTCGGTGGAAACCCCGGTAGAGTGTGAGCGAGACGGCCGCTAGCAGCGAGCGGGACCATACTCACCCTCACAACCACCACCTGCACAGAGACGTGTTCTGGAAGCCGGATGGGGGCCCGGAAGTGCACGGCCAGCGAGACCAGGAGGTGTAGGATGGCCACCAGGTTCTTCCCGTGGATGGCTTCAGGAGAGAAAGGAGAAGGCGGGTGCTTCAGATCGTGCTCTGCGGAAACCTCTCCTGGCTGCCAGGGCCCCTGGGTGACAGTTGACACTCAGCTACTAACTGAAAGGTTGGCAGATCAAACCCGCCCTGCAGCTCCATGGAAGAGAGGCCTGGTGGTCTCCAACCACGAAAATCATCCTGAGAAAACCCCACGGAGCAGGCAGCCTCCAGCCCGTCTGGGGTCGCTGTGGGTCAGAGTCCACTCAGTGCCAGCAGGTTTGGCTGGTTTTCATCCTAGTACCTACAGCTGCCGTAGCAGAAATATCACACCTTGGGGGGCTTTGAAGAACAGAAAAGTGTTTTCTCACAGGTTGGGAGGCTGGAAGTGTACATTTATAGGGTGGCTCTAAGGGCAGGCCTTTCTGTGTGTTTCAGCTCAGCGTCCCTAGGCTGGTAAGTCCATCAGTCCACTGTCTGTCTGTCTTTCTCCATTTGTGTCTGTCTACATAGGATTAGGGTTAGGCCCCATCCTACAGACATATGGCTTCATTAGCATAACAAATGAGAGCCTTAATGCCAAGGAGCATCTTAATTATAGACACCAAAACCAGAGCTGTCAGCTGGATTCTGAAAGTGACCCTGGGGACAGAGCAGCCCTGTTTAGGGCTTCCAAGGCCGTAAACTTTTCCAAAGCTGATCATCTGTGAAGCAGCGGGCAGGTGTGAACTGCTGACCTTCCAGGTAGCAGCAGTTAACGACTGGGTTTCAAATACCCAGAGCCCCGCCCACTGCCGCTGCCTTGACCACAGGGGCCCCTGCAGAACGGCTTGCAGCAGCCCATGCAGACCCGAGGCTGAGCTGTGTCCCGAAGCCGACCGCCTCATCCTTCTCTCACGGAGCAGCTGCTGGATTCAGATCACTGACTCCTCAGCCCACAAGGGTTCCTAGTCTACAGGGACAAGAGCCAGGATTTCAAGGCGTATTTTGTGGGGTGGGGACATAATTCAGTGTATAAGGACGTTCTACTCGTGCCAAAGGCAGTAAAGATTCAGCACGTATATGACACCGCAGGGGGAGGAGACAGCAAGGGGGTCACGTCAGCGAACCACAGATTGCTCCGGCGAGCCGAGAAGCTAGATAGTAACTGTCCTGTGGACGTGCGGTGACACCCTTGATGGGGAAAGGACAAGCGGGGAAGAGAACACTCCAGCATCTCTCGGTTTAAGTCTCCCTTTCCCGAGTTTGCCTCTTGGCTGCAAACTCTGGGATGGCAGGTCCCCATGCCGACGGGCACAATGACAAGGCCCCATGGGCAACATAAATCACCCTTGGCCCCTGCTTGAGTGGTCTACAGATAAACAGGTATTTGGTATCTGGTGTCACCGGTGCTGGGGCTGAGACCCACCCAAGAACCCCACTGTGCCTCTCTCGCCTCATATCCTACAGGCTGACTCATGGTCTCTGAAAGGACTTCTTTAAAGTGCCGGGGAGCAATGATGTCAGTTTAAAGACTAAGGTGTGCCTGACTGAAGTCATGGTGTTTTCAAAAACTTCATACTGACAATGAATAAAGAAGGCTAAAGAAGGGCATTGATACATAACCCATCAAATCCACCACCAGCTGCTCCACAGGAGGACAGACACTCTCCTCCCGTGCGATTTACTGCCTCGGAAAACCTGCTGGAGGGTCAGCTATGGGTCAATTCCGACTCTATGGCACACAACAGCAACATCCTTCTGCTACAACATTCCTTGACCTGCCCAGCCAACCAGCCAACCAGTCCTCTCTACTCTGAGGCCAGAGGTCACCTGAGCTTCATATCACGGCCTCCCCCAGAACAGGGAGGTGAGAGGGTTTTTAAACACAGTCAAATGGAATGATGCAAGGCAGCACCAGGTCCCAGCAGGCCCAGTCCCCAGCAGGCCCGGTTAGCAGCAGGCCCAGTCCCCAGCAGGCCCGGTTCCCAGCACCCCGGTCAGCAGCAGGCCCGGTCCCCAGCAGCCCCGGTCAGCAGCAGGCCCGGTCCCCAGCAGGTCCAGTTCCCAGCAGGCCTGGTTCCCAGCACCCCGGTCCCCAGCAGCCCCTCACCATCCACCGTCCAGCGGAGCACCCAGCCGTGGGGGCGCAGCAGGTCATGAACCGCCTCCAGCACCGTCTGTAGCTTCTGCTTCTGCCCGATCTCAGACTGGGTCACCTCGGCCACGTTCAGCTTGCAGTCCGCCAGCTTCTCTGCAGTGACAAGGACAAGGGGGAAGGAGGGGCGTTAGAAAAAGCTGGGGGTGCTCAGGGCTGAGACCCAAGCAGGCTGTGATGGGGTCCCCGATGCACAGAGGGCGAGCACCTGGGATGTTAGCTCCAGCCCTTCATCGTCCTTGGAAATGACTCCAGAAAGTAAAAGAGGTCATTCAAGGACAGAACTGGGGGTATCTCACGTATAAAAGGGGAAGCACAACTCAAAGGCCACCTCATGGGTGAAATGGTGTCCCTCAAAATATGTGTGTGCTTGGCTGGGCCTCTGTTCTTGGTGTTTGGGGTGGAGCGTTGGAATGTGGAAGTCACAGTCACACACACACACACACACACACACACACACACACACACGATCTGAGAAGCCCAGCAGTTGTAAAGCGATTAAGAGTGGGATCACCTCTCACTACAGCCCTGATTCTACACACAGCGAGGTTCCCTGGGGTGTGGCCGGCGCACCTCTCGTCTTACACGATGTTGGAGAACGTCAAGACACACGGAGATTGCCAAGAAACCTGGGGTCCGCCGAGGTGGGAAGGAGGAGAGACCTCCCCCGAGAGTCTACAGAGAGAAGCCTTCACCTAGAGCTGGAGCCCTAAATTTGGGGAGCACTGGTGGCCTAGTTGTGGGAAAGTGCGCTGCAACCCCGAAGGCATTGCTCTGTGGGAGACGGATGGACAATCTCCTCCCATGCGATTACTGTTGCTATTGTTGTTGTTGTTAAGTGCCATCAAGTCATAGACGACTCATAGTGACCCTATGAATGAAAGACCTGAGCACTGTTCAGAGAGTTTCCGGAGGCAAGCCATTCCAGAAGTGGATGCCACTCCTGCTTCCAAGCTTGTTTTAATCGGGGAGCTGCACCCCACACTGTCCACCGTGGGTAACATCCCGCCCTACTGCTCACCAATCCCAGCCAACAGCTTCTGTAGAAGCAGCTCCTGCAGGCGACTTTCTGATTGGTCTCCAGCGCCATGCTGCCTCCCCCCAGGCAATTAAACTGCCGCTGAAAACCCAGCTGGAGGGTCAGCTATGGGTCAGTTTTGCCTCAATGGTAAACAATAACAACAATCTTCAGGGTGCAAGGATGCTGCAGCTTTGTCTTGGGTATTTGGGGCACACTGTTGGGTGGAGTAGACCCAGAGAGGTGCAGATCAGTGAGAGGAAGACCCTCAATGAGACGGATGACAAGGTGACTATAACAACAGCTGAAGTGGGTCAGAGATGGTGAGGACGGCACTGGATGGGACAGTGCTCAGGTCTGTCTGTTCACAGAACCGCTCTGAGGCAGTGTCAACTCGACAGCACCGAACCACCACCATTGTCCCTGGAAGAGAAGATGACAAGAAGTGAGCTCAGTGCTTCAGACACGTCACCAGGAAGGACCAGGCCCTGGAGAAAAACGCCACACTTGGCAAAGTGGAGCTCCGGGCAGAAAAGACCTTCAGAGAGACGAACTGACAGAGCGGCAGCCCCGGTGGGCGTCAATGCGGCAGTGATTGTGAGGACAGCACAGGGCAGGGCAAGGGCCCGAGGTGCTGTTCACAAGGTCGAGTCCGTGGCACTGAACCACAGCCAGTCTCCTGAGCAGGGAGAGAAGGAGGCCCTGTGTTCAAGCCTCTCTCCTGGGCTGTATCTGTCACGGGAGCACCAGGTAACCAAGACAGCGCAGGTGCATGTGTGAGGGTCACCTTGGGGTGGGGTGGGGGCTGCAGTTGACTGTGTTCTTGAGGTTCCAGAAGGAAGAAGCTTTTGACAAAGAAGAGCAAGGGTCGTGCGTGTAGCCTTGGTCCCTGCACACGCACGCCCGGTTCTGTTTCTCTAAGCCTTTAACAGCGTTGGACAGCACAGTGAGAAGGTGTATGCGGTATTCAGAGACGCTCCGGTGATTTCATTACCCAGAGAGCGCGCAGGAAGCAATCGAGAAAGGTGAGATGAGACTGTCACATCCACTTGAGATTCAATTACGGAGACTCGTGCCCAGCGGCCGCCTGCTCGCCCGCCACCTCCGGAGCGGAAGAAGCCGGGCAGGGGTGAAGAGATGTGAGACACCTGTCACCTGACGCATGACCCCACACCTGCTAAAGGGCCACCAAGCTCCAGGGTACAGGGTTCAAGACCTGGCGATTCCTGACCTCGCACCTCTGTAAAATAGCGAGTCACATTACACAGCACGGAGACATTAACTCGTGGGCGCCAGCGAAGGAGAAGGTGAATGGCTTGTGACATTCTCTGTGGGACAACAGACCTTCACAGCAGTGCTTGCTGGGCTCAGAGCCCCCTTCCTTCCTTCATTCATTCATTCATTCATTCATTCATTCACAGTCAGTGAGCACCAGTGTGCCAGGTGCTGTCCAGGGTGCTGGGATAACCTGAGAGGTCCCTGCTGGGGAGACCCACACACCCCCAAACCAGCTGTCATGGGGCAGACTCCATGAGCCCGTGTATGTCGGAGTGGAACTGGGCTCCACGGGGTCATCAGGGGCTGGTTTTTTCAGAAAAAGATTGGTTTCAGTGAATTTGAACATCCAACATTCATCCAATCACTCAACTGTCTGTGCCACAACCAGGGATTATGGTGGGAAGACACACACACACACACACACACACACACACACAACAACAACACATCAGAACCATTGTGTTCGAGTCAGGCCTGAGCTGGTTTTATCCATTTGTGTCGGAGTGGAACTGCTTATAGGACTTTCTTGACTGTCTTTTCCTATCCCAAGTGGTGATATTTCCAATCGCATCACCTACACACAACAGCTGGACAAAGGGACAAGAAACCCAGAATGAAGGCTGCATAGTGGAGAGTACTTGGGGTGGGGAGTGCGGGGGATTGTACACCAATGAAGGAATTTTTCTTTTACTTTTCAAAGAGAAGAGCGAACTGGGGAGGAGATGTGGGCAAGGAGAAAAGTGCAACAATGAATGAATGGAAATCCAAAATCTCTGTAAATGTTCATTAAAATTAATAACATACATACATACATACACACATACACACATACACACATACATACATACATACATACATACATACATACATACATACATACATACATACATAAATGAGATAAGGAGCCTGGAAAAGAATCGATCCCTCTGAACCGTGGTGCTGGTGAAGAACTCGAATACGCCACGGACCAGAAGATGGAACAAGTGTGCCCGGGAAGTGGAGATGGCAAGCCCGGGTCTCACACTCTGGACCTGTCATCCAGGACCAGTCCCTGGAGGAGGACACTGCCCTCTGTAAAGCAGAGGCTCAGTGCAATCCCCGACTGAGATGTATTGACACAGTGGCCACGGCAGTGGACTCACACACAACAGACCGTGAGCCAGGCCAGCCCAGCACGGGGCAGGGTTTGGATCAGAGGTGCTGTGGGTTGGAGCTGGCTCGAAGGGACCCCACAACAGTCATGACGGAAGCAGAGCTCTTTAGCCACTGCTGTGCAGGTTCAAATCCCAGCCTTTCAATTAGTCATCAAACACAAGCCACTCATCCCACCCAGGGACAGTGGGAGACAGACGTCCCTACGTTGGCTGGACAACAGCTGGGGACCAAGGAAAGAAGACAGCATGATGGAGCGCATCCGGAAGGGGATGGAAGCGACTGCTGTTCCGCACACTCAGCCATCCCTCCACCTTTGTTAACTGGTTTGGGCTGGATCATTCAAACCTGCAAACAGAGAGGGCTACAGGGGTGTTCATCAACCCAAGACAGAGCGGGCCCACCAGGTGAGATGGCCAGCAGACTGAGGGTGGCCCCTGTAGCCAGCAGAGATGGGGGGGGTGAAGAAGGTCAATGTCACAGGGGGACTGGGCACTCCCAGGTGCCATGGAACATCGAGTGTGAGTGTAAATACAACAGATCGTGCTCCCACCCAGCGGCTTCTACACATTCATTTCCGTAACACCGGTTCCATTCTCCACTTTGTGTCACCACCCTGGCTGTCTCTATCCATTCTGCTCCACGACCAGTGACTCAGACTCACCCCACACGTCTCCATCTCTGCTTCAGAGCTACTGCTCATGATTTGATCTTGTAGTGACAATTACTTAAATGAGCGAAGATCTCATGACAAACAATCTTTGCTGATTTAGCTCAACAGGTGTTTAGTTTCAAGTTTGTGGTTTGAAGGTTTTGCTCAGCATGAAAGATCCAAGAGTTCTTTCTGAGGGAGCTCTGGTGGCCTAGTGGCAGGAAGCTGCACTGCGATCCCAGAGGTGTGAGGTTTGAATCCACCAGATGCTCTGCTGGAGAAGGAGGGGCAATCTCCAGTCAGAGCTGGTTTGACAGTACGTACGAAAAATAATAAAATTTTTAAGAAACAAAACCAAAAACCAAGAGTCCTCTTGCTGTTTCAATGGATCTAGGAAGTCGAGGTTCTGTAAAAAGCTGAAATTCTGTTCCACACATTCCCCCTTTTGATCTGGATCCAGCTATTGATTCATAAGCAAGGTCTCAGCGACTCTCTGTGTGAGGGGGAGACAAGGTCAAGCATCACTTTACCTGCTGAGAGGTGGAACACTGAGCAGCTCAGAGTTACAGGGGTAAGACCCTGTCTTCTCAGCATGAAAAGAAGTAGAAGGAGGAAGGAAGGAAGCCCAGGAGTGGCGAAGAGCAGCAGGAAAATGGGGCTTGTTGCCGACTGTGGGGGTTTTGAATACTTGTTAGAGGAGGAGAACCAGATTTCTGCAACAAGAGGTTTTGTGCATGAGTTCACACAGGACTTGTGGTCTGGGTGTGCCCTGATGACCCTAGTCAGCACATCCTCACTGCTGTCCGTGTGGAGGCCACCTTGAGCGGATCTCTTCAAGCACAGGAGAGCTCCATCTCCACAACCCCACCCTGCAGGACAGCACAGAAAGCAGCCCCTGCTTCTCAAATCCCTCAGAAGTGGAGTTTATGCTGATCAAGTGGGAACTCATCGTTGGCTATCCTCCTGTGGCCACAGCTGGGCTCCATTCTCTGTGCA